CCTTCCTTCCGAGGAGTGGCTGGTGGGTTTGAACCGCCAGCCTTCTGGTGAGCAGTCAAGTGCCTTAGGCACTATGCTACCAGAGCTCCTAACAGCCCCCAGTAGGAAGACCCAATTCATCCATTCCAGATTTGTCGAGTCAGTCAGTCAGTCAACCCCTCTGACTTCTGAATCTTTCTGGGACTTGGTGTTGAAGATGAGCAGTGCAAGTCAGAGACTGGCCTTCACAGAGACACCATCCCAGGAGGGGGAGACTGACAAAAACATACCAAAGCTGTGTAGTAGCTCATACATCAGGAAGTGGCGAGTGCTGTAGGCAGGCAGGAATGCATGGGCACAGCCACAGGGAAAGGGTAACCACAGGGAGGAAGTAGGAGGAGAGCTGTTAAACTGTTGTTGTTATGCCATCGAGTCGGCCCTGACTCATAGCGACCCCTCCTTGGATTTCCAAGGCAGTATCACTACGGAAGTAGGATTGCCCAACCTTCCTTCTGAGGAATGGCTGGAGGGTTTGAACCGCCATCCTTCTGGTTAGCAGTCAAGTGCCTTAGGCACTACGCCACCAGAGTTCCTACACTGTTACACAGAGTTCCCCACTGTTACACTGTGGGGAATGTAACCAGTGTCACAAAATAAAATGTATAGGAATTGTTGAATGTAAAATGAATCTGCTTTGTAAAATTTCACCCAAATCACAGTAAAAAGTTCAGAAAAAAAGAAAGTGATGAGTGCTTTGGAGAAGCCTGAGGCAGGAAGTGGCTGGGAAGTGAAGCACAGGTGCCTGTTTCAGGCAGGGTCACTGGGGACGTCACCCCAAAGGTGCCATCTGGGCAGGATGTCTCCAGACATCTGCAAAAAGCAGTGACATCGTGCCGACCCCACGGCCCATGCTGGGAGGAGCGTCTTAGCAAGGCCCAGCGGGTGGCTCAGGCAAGCTGGCGGTGGCCCCCCAGGTCCCCCAGGCCTTCCTGACCTCCTGCCTGAACACCACTTGCTCTCCTCACAGGTTAACTTCAACGAGCCCCTGTCCATGCTCCAGCGGCTGACAGAGGACCTGGAGTACCACCACCTGCTGGACAAGGCGGTGAACTGCACCAGCTCCGTGGAGCAGATGTGCCTGGTGGCCGCCTTCTCCGTGTCTTCCTACTCGACCACTGTGCACCGCATCGCCAAGCCCTTCAACCCCATGCTGGGCGAGACCTTCGAGCTGGACCGCCTCGAGGACATGGGCCTGCGCTCTCTTTGTGAGCAGGTGAGGCCCGGGCTCTCTGCGAGGCTGACGCTGGGCTGTGTCTACTACGCTCAGCCAAACTGCTCCTGCAAGGCACTGGGGACAGAGTGAGGTGAACAGGACACGGCCTCTGACCCTGTCATGCCCATGCCCAGGGGTTAGACAGACAGGGGTCTGTCCAGTCCGCAGGCTGGGCCTGGTGTGCAGGGAAGGGGAGGACTTGTGCTTATGGCCAGGGGACCGTGGAGCAGAGGTGGAGGGGTTTGCAGGGACTATTGGGGAGCCAGGTAAGTGGGAAGGTGGAGGAAGTGTCAACAAGATACGTCCGGGTCAGTGACTATGGAGCAGGGACTCTGAGGGGCTCTGGGGTCAAGGGCCCTGCCCAAGCATGGCTCATCTGTGTTTTCTCCACGCGTCCCTGCTAAGATGGCCCTGTGGGGCCAGGACCCAGGCTTTGCAGAGTGGGGCACCTTGGCCATGGCCCTGACACAGAGCCTGCCGTCCTTGTCTGATGCAGGGAATTCTTTGGGTGCCCCTCACCAGGTTGTAGCAGGCTGTTGGAAGGACCTGGGAAGCTACCACGTAGAAATGGATGGGGTGGAGGTGCCAAGCCCAGGCACCGCCACCACTGGGCCCCAACTACATGCCACATGCTGAGTGGGCCCACTAGAAGGGACAGTGCACCAGGCAGGTGCTTATGGTTGACACAGAGAGAGGTCAAAGCATGGGTGTGTGCTGAAGGGGGACCAGCAGGTTTGCTAAGGCTTTGGAGGTATGGGGGAAGGGCAGGCTGTCTAGGATCTCCCAGCATTCTTGGTCCAAACCACTGAGTATTCATTCATTCAACAAGCACTGATTCAGTGCCTGTCTTAGGCCAGGAACTGCCAGGGGTCTAGCTGGAAAGGAAGCAGGCGTAGCTCCGTGTGTCCATGGAATGGTGGATGGGGAGGGGACCAGCTCTCTTAGGATGGGGGTAGTCAAGGAGAAGAGAAGGTCAGGGAGAAAGGAGAACCCTGGAGAAAGCAGGCAGGCCAATTCTGGGGGACCCAACCTTTTTTGTTGCCAGGGTCCCTGTGGCTGCTGCAGGGAACATGGAGCCTAGGGGGTAAGATAGGGACAGCTGTCCAGGCTGCTACACTGGTTCCAGGGGGTGCTGGGAGAAAGGGGTGGGAGAAGGGTGCGTGTACTGATGGAAGCACAGACAGGATTGGCCAAGGATCAAATGTGGACCCTAAGAGAGAAGGAGGGGTCAAAGGCAACTCCCAGGCCCCTGGCGTAAGCAGCTAAGAGGACTGGACAGCAAAGCTAAGAAGGAAGTGATACTGACAGACTGAAGGCTGTGTCCTCGGAGGTCATACCTTGAGTTGGCCAGTGAAGACAGTGGCTGGTGGGTTGTGGAGACCCCAGCCGCAGGAACAGGAGCAGCTGGGGGGGTAGGGCCCCCCTCCCGAGACAGAAACCAGCAGGGAGGAGACCACTGGAGCAGGAGTGGGGTGTCCAGAGCGCAGTCTCACCCTTCTCGGGTTGGAAGCCCTGTCTGATGGGAGGTACTGACAACAGAGAGTATATAACAGGGCTGCCTTGAAGCAGGAGAGCCAGGTGGGCAGGTGTCCTGAGGGCAAGGTGGTTATCAGCAGTGCCCCTAGCTGCTGAGAGAGCCCTACTGTGGTGGGCCCAGCATGGTGGGCAGTCAAGGCTTCCTCCAGCCCAAGGCAGGGCACTCTGTCACCCACACTGGAGCCAGGCTGGCCTGGAGAGAGGCCCGTCCACCCCATGGGTGACCAGTCTGGGCCTCTTCCATGTAGCACATCATGACACACGTGTCCCTTTCCCAACTGTGAAATTAAACAAGACGACAATCACAGCAGTGAATTTGATAAGCCTCAGTGCAGCCCGTTACAGGCGGGTCCTGGGGGCACTGCTCAACCATCACCCCCATTGTATAGCCCAAGAGCCAGGGCCTCAAAGATACCAGGCCCATCTCCCCGACATCAGACACACAGGCACTGCCTATCCATATAGGCACTGTCCTGGTGGGGATGGGGGGCGGGGGCGAGGAAAGCAGGGCTGCCTCAGGTCCGTGGCCCTCAGGGGAGGAGTCCTAGCCTGAGAGCTGTTCAGGGAGGTGGGGGGCAGGGGGCAGGGAAAGGTGTCCCGCCTGGCTGGGCCGAGTGCCTGGGCCCTGTCCACAGACCCTCACGCTGTGTGGGTCTGACCCAGGTAAGCCATCACCCACCCTCGGCTGCACACTACGTCTACTCCAAGCACGGCTGGAGCCTCTGGCAGGAGATCACCATCTCCAGCAAGTTCCGGGGAAAATATCTCTCCATCATGCCCTTAGGTGAGCTGGGCCCGGAGCACTCTTGGGAAAGGGCATCCCGGTGAAGGGAGAGGATTGTACCAACCCAGAAGCCAGCTGGGGGCTTCCAGGGGCAACTCCCCTCCCCTTGACAGGTTTCCTGGGGCCTTCCTGGCCGTCCCCACCCCCCACCTCCCTCCCTGCCCCCGTCTACAGTCTAATGACGACAGGCCTGGTGCTCCAACGCACCACTCCGGGCCAGACCTCTGACCTCCCGAGGCCCTGACCTCTCACCCTGCATCCGGCCACCAGGTGCCATCCACTTAGAATTCCAGGCCAGCGGCAATCACTACGTGTGGAGGAAGGGCACGTCGACTGTGCATAACATCATCGTGGGCAAGCTGTGGATCGACCAGGTCAGGGGGGTCCGTGGGGAGAGGGCCATGGCGCCCACACGCTGGCCACTGACCACTTCCTCTCCCACCAGACGGGGGACATTGAGATCGTGAACCATAAGACCAAGGACCGGTGTCAGCTGAAGTTCCTGCCCTACAGCTACTTCTCCAAAGAGACGGCCCGGAAGGTAAGCGGGACCACCCCTCAGAGCCTGGGGGCCTGGGGCGGGGTGTGTGCCAACGCTGGTCTTGCCATGTCCACAGGTGACAGGAGTGGTGAGTGACAACCAGGGCAAGGCCCACTATGTGCTGTCCGGCTCGTGGGACGAGCAGATGGAGTGCGCTAAGGTCGTGCACAGCAGCCCCACCAGCCCCAGCCTGGACGGGAAGCAGAAGACCGTGTATCAGACGCTGCCGGCCAAGCTGCTATGGAAGAAGTACCCGCTGCCGTGAGTGGGGCCTGTGGCGCGGGGCGGAGAGGGCGGCAGGAACAGAGAGGGGGACAGCAGGGGAGGCATGTGGGCAGCAGAGGGCCAGGAGGACCAGGGCCTGACGAGCCACAGGCACAGGGGCACAGAAATTTCCATCCTGGGCTAGGGCGCGGGGGCTCGCCAAAGCTCTGTGGCCTCAGGCAGGCGGCTGACATTTGGAAACAAACAAGACCGACAGTCGACAAGGAGAGAAATGTGAACCCGCTGGCGGTGAGCAGTGCGGTGAGGCAGGGTAATGGGCCAGAGACTGCCTGACTGAAAGAGAAAAACGAACTTAAAAAGAACCACAGGAAACAAAACTGTAGGGATTGGCGTGGCAGCTTCGCAAGCAAACAGAATAGAAATTTTACAAGGAAAAAATAAAATAAATGAAACCAGGATCTCTCCAGAAAGATGGAATGGATCAAGGACAACTGAAGAGGGAATCATCAGCCAAATACAGATCAGAAGAAATTATCAAGAGACGAAACCTAGAAAAGACGGGAAGCAGGTCAATTGCCCAGTGACCCAGAGCGGGGTCCCACCAGGGTCACCTGTGGCTGTAGCTCTTCCCATCCAAGGTCTTTGATCTCTTCCTAACGGTTTGCACTAGACTAAAGGTTGGTGTAAACCCACCCAGCAGTGCTGTGAGGAGCTCTGGTAGCGTAGTGCCTAAGGCACTTGACTGCTAACCAGAAGGCTGGCGGTTCAAACCCACCAGCCACTCCTCAGAGGGAAGGATGGGCAATCTACTTCCATAGAGATACTGCCTCAGAAACCCAAGGAGGGGTTGCTTGGGTCCAACTCAGCGACACATAACAACAACACAACAGCAGCGGTGCTGTGAAGAAAGACCTGGTAACCTGCTTCCTTTAAGGTTTCAGCCAAGAAAACTCCATGGGGCAGTTCTTCTCTGTGATACACGGGGTTGCTGTGAGTTGGGGTTGACTCGATGGCCACTTTTTAAATATAGATTTATTTCTTAGTCTGGGACATTTATCACCATTATTTCTTTCACTATTTCTTCCTCCTTTCCAGTTTTGCCTTTTTCTTTCCTTTCCTTCTGGGACTCTCATTAAATGTATATTTTCATGGTTACCCTGGAAACTGCAGCATGCATAACTCACTCTGTGTGTGAATCTCACCCAGAGTCAGCGTCTCCATCTCAGTACCACCCCCAGGGGGTTCACCCGCCCGTGGAGGTCTGAGAAGCAAGGGCTAGTCAGAGTTCCACTGAAAAGAGACCAAATCTGAGGAGTGAATAGTGGAGCATTTTCCACACCTGAATCCAACAGCCCGCCACTCACCTGTCAGTTTTCACACTGTGGTGGCTTGAGTGTTGCTGTGAGGCTGGAGGCTATGTCACTGGGATTTCAAATACCAGCAGGGTCACCCATGGTGGGCAGGTTTCAGCGGATCTTCCAGACTAAGACAGACTCGGAAGAAGGAAGGAGCCATCCACTTCTCAAAGAATTGAACCAGGCAGTGTTTTGTCCTGTTGTAGAAGGAAGGAGCCATCCACTTCTCAAAGAATTGGACCAGGCAGTGTTTTGTCCTGTTGTACGTAGGGTCGTTATGAGTCAGAGCTGATTCGACAGCACCTAACAGCAACAGCAACAACAAAACCTGACAGTGATCGAGTGAGACTGTTGAAAACTAAATCCAAGAGAAAATGTTAAGCTGCTAGATTTAATGTAAGGAGCTCTGGTGGCACAGTGTCTAAGGCATTTTGACTATTAACCGGAAGGTTGGTGGTTCAAACCCACCAGCTGCTCCACAGAAGGAAGATGGGGCAATCTACTCCCGTAAAGATTTACTGCCTCGGAAACCCGGC